TTAGTGAATGTATTCACTGTATAGCTAATGAAGAAACATAGTACCAGATAAATGATGTTCTTACTTCTCCTGAAATTAAAAAAAAAATCAAAACCAATTAATAGATGGTCCTTTTTTATAAACATTTCAATAATTCTCGATTCATTTAGATAATGCACCATACAAAACTTCATTACTCAATAAAATCACTATGAGCAAATGTTGGATTTGCTTTTCTGGGCATATTTCTTACTACATGGTAAGCTCTATGAGAATTAAAACTGTACCTTATACCCATAGCCTCTACACCTAGCACAGTTCCTAGAACCAAGATGGCATGCAATAAATGACAGGCTGTTGGTTGGATGAATTAAAAAATTAACTCCAGTATCACTTATCTTTTACTGGTGCAGCTGTGAGATCACCAAAAACCCTGTAATCTTCCTGCAAGGTTTTTGAAACAAACTTTGAATGAGCTTCTACTAAGCCAGATCTAGTCTCTCAAAAATTACTTCATGTATTATCTTTGTAAATGTTTTCAAAACATCATATAATCTAACCAATGGTAACTTTTTCCCAATTGGCTTCAACCCACTGTCTCTATTTCATGAAGTCAGAGAACCTGGGAGTGAACCCTGGTGTCCTCTTGCTCCTTCAAACAACACATCAAATCTATCACCAAGTTCTGCTGATTCCATCTCTAGAATATATTCTAAATCCATCCACTTCTCTCCCATTTCCACAGCACCTCTCTAAGCTGCTGTCTTCTTGATCATTGAAAAAGCCTCTAAATAGGGTTTCTGTATTCCACTCTTGCCTAATTCTAATCTATTCGTCATATAGTGGCCAGAAAAAAAAATTTTTAATGCAAATCTGATCCTGCTATTTCCTTGCTAAAAATCATTCAATGGTTTCCTACTACAATTACAATAAAAACCCAAATCCTAACTAATGTCCTCAGCCTATCTCTCCAGCTTCATCTTGTGTGACTCTTTTATTCATTGTACTCAAGTTATACTGGTCTTCTTACAGCTCCTCAAATTTACGAAGTTCTTATATGCCTCAAAACATTTACACGGGCTGGAAAATTCTTCTCTTTAGCTCTTTGACTTGCTGACCTTCTACTCATCTTTTAGGTAAATTATTACTTCCTTAAAAGAGGAATCCCAACCTCCAGCAATCTAGATCAGGAAGCCCCTGTTATAATCTCTTGCTGCATTCCTATTCTCTTCCTATTACCTATCAGTTTGTAATTAAAGATTTATTTATATGACAGTTTATGTATACGACTGTTTATTGTTTTATTGTCTCGCTCATGAAACTGAAAGCTTCATGAAAGTAGAGTTTATGTCCAAAAAAAGAAAAAGAAAGTAGAGTATGTCTTTTTGTTCATCCTACAGCTCTCATACTATGCCAGGCACATGAATACTAAATCAAAGAACCTCATGGAGAAATAACACCATCGTAAGAATTTTAGTTCACTGTCAATGAAAATAAGCACAAATCAGAACTCAAAAATCTAGCTGTTTATTTCCTTGGTGCCAGATACACACATGGACAATCACAAGTTTAATAAAATGCTGGAAGAAACACACAGTTAGCTAGATTACTGCTGATACAAATTTATACTGTCTCCACTGGGCCTCAGCAAGGCTCAGCATCCCTTTTAACTCTTTCTAGTCAATCTTTCTCCTCACACCACTACTATTCCAACTCCTGCCAACCAGACATTTAGACTAAAGGAAGAGTAATCCAGACAGAGAGAGCAGTAAGTACAAAGGCTCCAAGGCAGGAGGGTGCTTGGTTGTCTGAGAAAGAGGAGTCCTGTGGCTGGAGTCAAGTGAACAAGGGCCAGAACAAGGGGAGTAGCCAAAGAAAAAAGCAGCCATGAGATGCTACTGGGTCTTAAAGATAAGGATAAAAACTTTGTTAAAAATTCTAAGCAAGTGCTCGCTTCAGCAGCACATATACTAAAAATTCTAAACAAGACTGGAAAACATTAAAGGTCTTCTGTGCAGAGGAGTGGTATGATCTAACTTAAGTTTGAAAATGTTTACTCTGGCCCCTGTATAAAGAAGACTGGAGACTGGGGTGAGGGACAAAAGTAGAAGCAAGGAGATTAGTCTAGGGATATTACAACAGCCTAATCAAGAAATAATGGTGGCTTAGAATAAGGTAGTAAAGGAAGAAATAGACAGAAGCAGTCATATTCTGGATATATTTTGAAAGTGGAACCATTAGAATTTGCTGATGGATTAAATAGAGTATGACAGAGAGAGAGAGAAAATCAAGATACCTCTTTGGACCTGAGCAAGTAAAAAGACAAAACTGCCATTTACTCCCACTTTCCACTAAAAGAAACCAAGGATTCTTAGAGAAATGGCTGAATCTATAGCTAGAACAGTAAGAGCCGAGAACATATCGCTGTGGTCAAAAGTAATGATGATATATACAAATATCGAATCATATGTTGTACACCTGAAACTAAAAGAATGTTATATGTCAATTACACCTCAATTTTTAGAAAGAGTTGAATAAACTGGAGTTTAAAAAAAAAAAAAAGACAGGGAGACATGTCAAAAGGACACAGCAGCTGGCTTGAAGAGGCTCCCCTGCCCAAATCTGGAACAATGTAAGCATCAAAATAAATATCGATAGCAACAAATTATAATTCATAAAATAAGAATCCTCAAGTCTAAATGGAATGAACAGATAAACAGGAAGAAAAAAAGCCTCTTCCTTACAGTGGAATGCCAGTTAATAAACTTCATAAAGAAATAATGGAATTAAAAAATCATCTGTTTAGCAACCAACAAAGTAATAGTTTCAGGCAAGAATCACCACTGGATGCTAAATCCAGTGGGTAAAAGTTTAATGAGAAACAGGATATTTACATGGTTTCAAAGTGTACTGCCAGAAGATACTTAGAGAAGGAAAATAATTTACAGAGAAGAAATTCTACCTTAACGAAGTATTCAGAGTTAACATCACTTGTAACAGGACACATACCTCCTGATATCACGCACAGAGGACATATCACCTCTATAGTATTTCTGCCCAAAGTGGATCACCTGAATCTCATCATGAGGAAACATAAAACAAGCTCAAAGTGGTGGACAGTCTATGAAATAAATGACCTATGCACTTCAAAAATGTCAAAATCATGGAAGATAAAGACTGAGGAATTGTTCGAGATTAAAGGAAACTAAGGAGACATGACAATTAAATGAAACACATGATCCTAAACTGGATAACAACCCAGGGCAAGTTGTTTTTTCCTTTTGCTGTAAAAGAACATTAGTGGTACAACTGATAAAATCTGAATAAAATCTTCAGATTGAATAATATACTTTATCTGTATTAAATTCCCAATTTGATGATCGTGCTATGATCATGTGCAAGAACATCCTTATTTTTAGGAAATATACATAGATGAGTAGGAATAAAAGGACATTACCATTATGTCTGCAACTTAGAAAAAAAAAGTTCTTCAAAAAAGGAACCACCACCTCCTCCTTTGACTATCCACTGAACTCCATGTAAATTTCTACTACAGCATCTATAACAATTTGTTTTTCTTATTCCTAGGAAAAGAAATGTGTCTTCAGTGGTTAAACAACCTGCCCAAAGTAGAAGTCAGTAAATGACAAACCACAAATTGAACCAAGATCCAGCTGACTCAAAGCCAATACTTTGTTAAATCATAAGATGGTAGAATGCTCAGCAAATATTTGCCATTATATTGTTTTTATTTTTCAAAAATACTCATATAATGACCTACACAATCTATTCACCAAAGGGTTTCGTAATCCAAAGAGTGTCAACCTATACAATAGGAATCCCCAGCATCAGCCTTATAAACTCTTACTTTCAAGACAAGAGACAGAACTCAACTTGGCCAACATAGTGAATTGGTGGCGAAGAAAGAAAAGACACAGGATAAATGAACATAATCCAAAAGAGCCTTTATGATCTAGCCCTTGCGCTTTTCCAATCTCATCTCTTATCATTATCTATACCTAATATTCTTTATCCTATGTGAAAATTTATTTATTCCCACAATTAAGCATGTTTTCCCCCCATTTTCAAGTCTTTGCACTTCTTTTCCGTCTGATTATATGGGAACCCATCGCTTGTCATCCTGACAAACTCGTACATATTCTTTAAGACCGGCTCATATAGTATATTCCCTAAATGAATCTTCCTCTGACCTCCCCAGGCACAGGTAGATGCTATCCTCCCAAAACATTATTTACCCTACAATTAAGCCTTCCACATGAATGAAATTATTTATTTACAAGTCTCTCCTAGACTATACTTGAGAGAAGGAATCCTGTCATTCACTTTGGCATCTTTAGCATCTGAAGCATAAGTAGGTTCTCTGTCTATACATTTATATCTTGCTACATGTTGCAAAGGATTAAGGCAAAAGCATTTAAAAAATATTTCTAGCAGTAATGAATATGGGTGTTTTATCACTTGAAAAAAGCTTGGTTTTTGTTTTTTCGTTGGTCAAATCCCAAACTCTTCTTCATTCATAAGACAGAAAATAAATAAACCAAGCTCATTTAATACTGGTAGTCAAGGGGTACCTGCGTGACTCAGTCAGTTAAGCGTCTACCTTCGGCTCAGTTCATGATCCCAGGGTCCTGGGACCAAGTCCCGCATCAGGCTCCCTGCTGGGGGGGGGGGTCTGCTTCTCCCTCTCTCTCTGCCCCTCCCTCGGCTCGTGCTCACACGCACGTGCGCTTTCTCTCTCTCTCTCAAAGAAAGAAATAAAATTTTTATTAAAAAAAAATACTGGTAGCCAAAAGAAACTTGTTTATCTGCAAAACCAAAGCAGTCATAATGGATTTAAAAGGAGTATGTTAACAAGCAGAACTATGTCTATACACAAACCACATCTATTTGCAGATCAGACGGATAAATGAATTGCTGTTACTGCTTTACCCCAGGACAATTAATCCTCTGTTTCTTGTCCATGACCAAATTATTTGTCCAATCTGAATATCCAACTTTACCTGCAGTGCTTGTTCTTGGATATCACGAAATAATTCCATATCTTTCTCAGTCATGATTTCCTGGCTCCCAAAAAGCCGTTCCTCACTTTCTTGTTTGCCATCCCAGCCATCCTGATTGTCTGCACATAAAAAAAGGGCTCATATGTTATTAATATTATCCTTAGTTTAATATATGAACTAGGAAAAATTTCAAAAGCCTTTATTTCAGTTTGAAGACCATAATATTATTTTTATAAGAGAAGAGGATAGCAATAAACTGACACCTATAAAGATGGGTCAGTAAATAATAAGTAAATATTGTATCTGCTTATAATGAAAACCTGACCTGTCCTAAAACTTCTTAAAATTATTACATAGCTACATTTCCACTTCATTAGTACATATTTTAGTATACTATAATATATACATATATAATATATACACATATTATATATGAATATATAATACATACAATTATGTATTATAATATATACAAAAGTTTGATGAGCACCATGTGATGTACAGAAGTGCTGGAACACTATACTGTACACTTGACTAATATTACATAATATTATACTGTGTATGTTAACTAACTGTAATTTAGATAAAAACAAAAAAGAATAATACATACAAAAGCAGAACAGAAAAAAGGTCTAAGGAATATGAAACTGAAATAATATGAATAAAAAATTTTTAGTATGGATTTAATATATCAAAATTCAAATATTGCTTTTTCATTCTTTGGTAGTATGGCAGAAGTTTATGTTAACAGCAGGACATGATTTTCATCACATGGGACCAAAACACAGAAAATTTGTTCCTTTTATAAACCTTAATGATCCTGTGATCTTCATAAGGCCAGTACATTCTTATCTCAGCAAGAAGATAACCTTCGAAATAACTACCATACTCCCCTCACATTCTGGGTGCCCTTTTAAATAAAGCAAAACTCCACAAATCTGAGGATCACAGATGATAATCCTCTGGGTAAGAAATTATATTATTAATCATTCAGTAAATGATGTATCTTCCTCACATGGGCAAGGGAAATTCATGAAAGGAGTACTGGGGGATTATGGAGATCCTTATCTTCCACACTTGAAGATGACACCACTGATGGACTAATTTCCTATTTGTATAAGTATGGCAGAAAAGACCAATTTGTGACAGTTCTTTTCAAATTAAACAGAATACAGGCTGTCTGTTATTCACTTAGTGTAAGAAGAATAAGGACAAGGACTCACTGCTGAAAATATTCCCAAACTGAACAATATGTATCTGAAGATACTACGTGACTTTAATGCCCCCTAGTGCATGACACAGACGGATGCAGGCACAGATTTAGTACAGCATTCAGTAGCATTCAATCAGATGGTGCAGACTGTTCCTTAAACCCTACAATTCATAAAAAAAAACTTACAAAGCCAATTACAGCAAAAACACCAATGCAAAAAGTCAATACCGATTCTCCATATACTTTACACATTTTCTCTAATGATTTCTATTTCTAAAACTTTCCAGGAGATTCTTGTAATAATCCATCTCCAGTGAAACAGTTAATTCAAAAATGCCTTTCACTAGGATCTGCTTTAGATTCCTTCCTCCTAAATCCAACCTAAATGGCGCATATTTTCTTAGGTAAACGTACTCAGACTGGAGCTACAGTGTACATGGCTGATAAAGACATGAAAAGTACTTAAGCACTTACAGAGTAATTAGTTGATTGCCACTCTGCTGAAAAGCCAATCAATACAGCATAAAAAGGGGGATCTGACAATGATGAGGATTTCCTCTCCTGTGCTGGACCAATCAACCATTTATATAAGCAGGAATGAAGAAGCAGTGAATATAATCACCAATGAGACTGAATTCAGGGGAAGGAAATCAACATTAAGAAATTGTCTTGCAGTATAAGAGATACTACATCTTTGGCCCTTGTGATCCAAAGGAGTCCATTATCATTCTTCTACATTCCTCAGACGCTTTTCTACTTCCTTCACAGGGTTAAGTCTGTAAACTCACGGCACTAAATAGCAATGAGACTAGTTAAACTTTAATTATCAAGACAGCTAATGACTTGAATTACCTGCTACACTATTAAGTCTTCTCTACAGATCTTTTCTACTTTGAAAACTAGGGAACTCAACCTGATACACAAGTATGAAATGAATAAAAAGAGGGCATGCTACAACTGATATCACAGAAATACAAAAATCATAGAAGACTACTACAATTACAGCTCCAAAAACTGGACTATCTAGAAGAAATGGATAAATTCCTAGAAACATACAACCTACCAAGACTGAATCATGATGAAATAGAAAATATGAACTGACCAATTACTATTAAGGAGATTGAATCAATAATCAAAAACTTCCCAACAAACAAAAGCTTCACCGGTGAATTCCACCAAACAGTCAAAAAACACTTAATACCATCCTTCTCAAACTCTTCCAAAAAACAAAAGAGGGAACTCTTTCAAGCTCATTTTATGAGGCCAGCATTACCTAAGCCAGTCAAAGAAAGAAAATTACAGGTCAATATCACCAATGAACATAGATGCAAAAATCCTCAACAAAATATTAGCAAACTGATTTCAACAATACAATAAAAGGGTCATCATACACCATGATCAAATAGGATTTAATCCAGAGATTTAAGGATGGTTTAATAACTGCAAATCAGTCAATACACCACAATAACAAAATGAAAGATAAAAATCAGATGATCACTTCAAGATATGCAGAAAAAGCATTTGACAAAATTCAACATCCATTTATGATAAAAACTCTCAACAAAGCAGGTATAGAGAGAACGTACCTCAACATAATAAAGGTCGTATATGACAAGCCCACAGCTAACCTACTCAATGGTGAAAAGCTGAGAGTTTTTTCTCTCTTTAAGATCTCTCTAAGATCAGGAATAAGACAAGGCTACCTACTCTCGCTACTTTTATTCAACATAGGATTGAAAGTCCTAGCTAGAGCAACTAGGCAAGGAAAAAAATAAAAGGTATCCAAGTTGGAAAAGATTTGTAGATGACATAAGAGAGAAAACCCTAAAGACTCCATCAAAAAACTGTTAGAACTAATAAATGAATTCAGTAAACTTGAAGGATACAAAATCAATACACAAAAATCTGAATTGTTTCTATACACTAACAGTGAACTACCAGAAAAAGAAATTAAGAAAACAATCCCATTTACAACTGCACCAAAAAGAGTAAAATACCTAAGAATAAATTTAACCAAGCAGGTGAAAGACCTGTACATTGAAGACAAAACACTGTGTGTGTGTGTGTGTGTGTGTGTGTGTACACACATATATATGACATTAATGAAAGAAATTAAAGACACAAATAAATGGACAGATATTCCATGCTCATGGATTGGAAGAATATTGTTAAAATGTCCACAGTACCTAAAGCCATCTATAGACTCAATGCAATCCCCATCAAATTTCTAATGACATTTTTCACAGAAATGGAAAAAAAAATCCTAAAATTTGTATGCAACCACAAAAGAATCCAAATAGCCAGAGCAATCTTGAGAAAAAAGGACAAAGTACTAAAGCTCCCTGATTTCAAACTATGTTACAAACCTACAGTTATTAAAACAGTATGGTATTGGCATGAAAACAGACCCAGAGATCAATGCAACAGAACACAGCACCTATAAATAAACCCATGTATATATGGTCAATTAATTACAACAAAGGAGCCAAGAATGTACAATGGGGGAAAAGACTGACTTTTCAATAAATAGTGTTGGGAAAACTGGACAGCCACATGTGAAAGAATGAAACTATATAACTCTCTTACACCACATACAAAAAGTAACTCAAAATAGATTAAAGACTTGAATTTAAGACCTGAAACCGTAAAACTCCTGGAAGAAAACAAAGGTGGCAATCTCCTTAACATAGTTTTTGACAATCATTTTTTAAATCTCATGCCGAAAACCAAAAGCAAAACCAAACAAGCTGGACTACATCAAACTAAAAAGCTTCTGCACAGCAAAGGAAACCATCAACAAACTAAAAAGGCAACCTACTGAATGTAAAAAGATATTCGAAAATCATATATCCAATAAGGGGTCAACATCCAAAATATACGAAGAACTCATTCAACCCAATAGCAAAAAACAAACAACCCACAGGGCACCTGGGTGGCTCAATCGGTTAAGCGTCTGACTCTTAATTTCAGCTCAGGTCAAGATCTCAGGGTCGTTGAGATCGAGCCCTTTGTTGGGCTCTGTGCTGAGCATGGAGCCTGCTTAAGATTCTCTCTCTCCCTCTGCCTCCCCCCTCTTCCATGCTCTCTCTCTCAAAAAACAAACAAACAAAAAACCCACAAAAACAAACAATCCACTTAAAAAAGGGCAGAAGATCTGAACAGATATTTTCCCAACAAAGACATAAAAATGGGCCACAGGTACATGAAAAGATGGTCTACATCATTAATCAACAGTGAAATGGAAATCAAAAACCAAGGAGATACCACCTCACACCTGTCAGGATGGCTATTACCAAAAAGACTAGAAATTATAAATGTTGGGGAGAATGTGGAGAAAAGGGAACCTCTGTGCACTGTTGGTGAGAATGTATATTGGTGCAGTCACTATGGAAAACAGTACAGAGGTTCCTCAAAAGATTAAAAATAGAACTGCCATACAATCCAGCAATTCCACTTCTAGGTATGTAATCCCAAGAAAACAAAAACATTCATTTGAAAAGATATATACACCCCCATGTTCGCTGTAGAATTATCTACAATAGTCAAGATATGTAAATAACCTAATGCATCAATGGCTTAAGGAAACTGTGGTGTATGTGTATAACATTATTCAGCATAAACATACATACATACATACATACCAAACTCACAGACTGGTTGTTTGCCAGAAGAAAGGTGGGAGGTGGAGGGTAAGAGAAATGAGTGAATTATTTTTTTGTTTTTTAGTTTCAATAAACAGAATTTTAAATAAATAAATGAAAACTAGGAAAGTTAGCCTAATATATAAGTAAATGGTCTGAAGTTGTAGTTCTCTCCCTTTCTCTCTTTTAAAGTATAATTCATGAAATACTACAACTATATTTGCCAAGATTTGAAGTAGAAAAATCAGTGACCTTATCATACTCGCATGTATTTTGGTCTTTTCTCTATGCTTAGATCAACAGCATTTTATCCACCCATACTCTTTCCAATTTCCTTCTGGAAATAATCATCATGATGCTCATCACATAATTTGTTTTGTAATTTATGAAATGTAAAGATATCCTTGATTTAAGGTCAGACCTTAAATTTCTATAGGAAGATTCTTTGTGGTTCTACAAAAAAAAAGCACCATCTTTTGCCTAAGAGCTCCTATTTGCCCACTCTAACAATTTCATCTCTCCAGCCTCTCAATCCCTGCCACAGTCACCACCTTACTTTAATCTAAATATGTACCTTTAATCTGTTCTTCTAGTCCATAACCATAGATAATAATCAACTGTAAATCTATTTTAGATAACTAGTGTTATTCCAAGTAATACACTTTGGGAATACATTTTGCTTCTAAGTAAACTTTTACCTGTGGGCCAATCTGAAGTGCTCGATTTTCTGTTGCCCTTTTTCCTGATTCTATATTGCTCAGAGTAGTCTACCACTTCCCCTCGAGGTTTCCTCCCATCGGGGGAAGGGGTGAAGAATTTGGTAAGGCCATCAATGAGCCCTTTGGTTTTCTTGTTGAATTTCAAGGGGACACTGCTATCTCTGCAGAAGTCCAAGCCATCTATTCGCTCTAAATATCCTTCTTCTGATGACGATGCTGATTGGCTGGAAAGGGTGATTTTACGTTTCCGGCCCCTTCCTGGACCAGTTCGAACTTTGCTGAAGGGACCTTTTGATCTAAAAAAATCAAACAGGGAAAAGGGTAACTATTAAAAAAGAAATCCTTGTAAGGTTTCTATTTAATATATAACATGTAATTAGTAAATAACCTCTAGCTTTATTTAAAAAACTATATTGTTAAGACTATTCCATAAACCGTAAGTATTATAGGAATGAGAAGTAATATTGTTATTAGAAATAATATTTTTGGAGAATCTAGTATTTTATAGCAAAAAGAATCCTGAGGTTGGGAGTCAGAAGGAATGTTTAAGTCATAATTCTGCCACTTTCTAGCTATACGTCTTATTAAAGAAATCACATTCTGTCTAAACACCATTGTCTTCATCTATAAAATGAGAGCTGGACCAGAGAACAATTAAGACCCTTCCAGGTATAAAGTCCTATGATCTCTGTACCAACTCAGAGTTACACTTTTACCTCTAAACACAAGGATGCATTACTCTCTCAAAGTCAGGAATCAAAAGATCATCTTATAGGAAAATTAAAGCCTGATTTAAGATTTAAAATATGAACTACAATACTGGTGCTGTATATTTCAAGCTGCTCGTGCCCATTCCTTTCAGTTATTACCTTCAAGACAGTCTAGAGTGTAGGAAAGGTGGGTAAAATTTTTAAGAATACAGGTTTACAGACTTAAAGATATCTTACATATCATCAAAGGGGAATTACTATAGACACTCACACACACACACAAAAAAAGAATCAGCTACTGAATCTTGCCCCACGTCCTCCAGATATAGCCCAGTTTCCTAGTCCACAAGGGATAATTATATCCCTGACTTCTGCTAACAGATGAAAAACACATTATTTTATTTTACATCAGGACACAGAAATGGGACTTGGCTATGACCTCAACAGCACAAGTTATCCAGTGCTTATTTGCACATATAATATAAATAAACTACTGAGACCACATCAGGAGAGGAATCTGTGAAATGCTATAACAACATAATTTTTCCTTTCTTGTTTACATAAGAGCAATATAAGGCAGTGTTTAAGAATCAGACTTTGGTGCCAAACTACTTGTGGGTTTTAATCCCAGTTCAACACTAAACTATAAACTGTGCAAGTTAATCTACTGTGTTGTAGTTTCCGCCTTTGAAAAACAGGAGTAACAACAATACTACTTCATTTGGTTGTTGGGAAAGTTCAGTGATGAACACAGCGTAAGGCACTTGGGGCTTTATTATAACTTGGCACTTTTACTCCGAGTTCAGGTGCACGGCAGTGCCAGCTGCGACCAGTGGGGTTGCCCACAAGGCGGACAGGACTCCTACCCCGAGGGAACACCCTATCCTCTTCTCCCCTCACCTTGCCGCAAGTACAACTTACACCGTGTTTTGTTTCTTTAACCTGTTTTTTGGACGTCCAATTGGGTTAGCATAGCGCCGTTTTATCTGTGCTGCCTTCTTCTGTAGAAGTTTCCGTCCTTTTTTCCTAGGTCGACATATCTGACATATCCACATGCCTATAAAAAAATAAAATTCCACATAAAGCACGACAGACACAGATACACAGAAAGAGTGCAGATACTCTAGGCGTTCTTAACCTCTCTTAGGTCAAGGACTCCCATTTAAAAAATCTGATGGAAGCCCCTGAGAAAAATAAACATGAAAACATATACACACAAAATTCTACAAACAACTGGAAAAGACTCACAAATATCCTAAAGCCCACATATAGTTGAAGTCCACTGACCCTCGGTTAAAAAGCCCTGCTCTACCCCGGCACCAGATTATTCGTTTCCAATTACCAGTCTATAAGAAAAGAAGCCAGGTTTCCATAGAGCAATAAGTGATTCCAGGACTGGAGCAAGGAAAATACTTGACAACCTGGAGCATCTTATGGTGCCAGAAAATGGAGAAGTGCTCAAAAGATGAGGAAGGCATGTCAAAAGGACCTAGAAGCCAACTTGAAAGAGCTCCCAAGAGCCAAATCTGGGTAATTCTGAGCAAAAAAAGGGATAATCACATCAATGGATTATAACCCACTGAATAAAATATCCATGAGTCCATTAGGAATAATTGAACAAATAAATGGGAAAAGGGATAGCTCTTCCTTACAGTAGAATTCCAATTAATAAATGAAGAAGGGATGATGGAAGCAAAAAAACCATCATCATGTAAACACCAAAGTAAAATTAGTGCAAACAAGAATCACTGATGGATGCTAAAGTTAGTACAAGGAGGAAGAAGAGTAACTTTAAGGTCAGGTTCTACTGTAATCATTAAGTGGTCAGTTAACATTACCAGTAATAAGGCATATTCGTATTATACACCCACACTACAATGCACTAAGAAGGGTACAATATCACTTCTGTGGTGTTCTTATCAAACTTCATAATCTTAATTTAATCAAGGAGACAAGCCTAAATTTAAGGACTTTCTACAAAACAGCTAGCCAGTTTCTTCAAAAGCGTCAAGGTCAGGAAAGACAGTCTAAAGAATTAACACAGACTGGAAGACACTAAGGAAATATGACAATTAAATGCAATGTGAAATCCAGGACTGGATTCTGGAGCACAAATTCCAATACGGTCTACAGATTAGTTAATTGTATCATAACAATGTTAGCGTCCTGGTTTCAGTAATTGTACTATGGTTTTATAAGATGTTAACATCAGAAGCTGGTGGTGGCTGAAATAAGAAGTCTCTGTACTATTTTTGCCACTTCTCTGTAAATATGCAATTACTTCAAAATAAAATGATTCCTGCTTTAAGCTGCAATGAAACTTCTTTTGTAGGCACTATACACAGGAATGAAGTCCTAAGAAAATCTTTCTTATCTTGAAGGATTCTCAGGCCTTTTGCCCAGACTTCAAATAAATGGAAGAGGTAGGAAAGGGGGTATTTATTCTTCCAATACATATAAATCCAAGACTTTTCAAAAGGTAACAACGAAAAGAATGACATAAGAGGGACTCAAGTAGGATCCTAAGTGGAATAACTTGACTATACCTAAGGTTCAGTCCTTCCCAACCACAGGAAAATTTTTCCCAAGAAGAAATTATCAAATATCCTATAAGCATTTTACTTAAGAAACCTATTTAGTCACAAAATCAGAGTTAAAAATGGAAATTGTGATAAGGAAACAGCAGGAGAGACTAACTGGACTTATTTTTTTTTAAGAAACTATAAACATATAATAAGATGGATGTTCAACCAACAGGCAGCTATCTTCCAACCAAATACCTTTCAAGGAACAGAAGTCAAAAGAATAGAATAACGTTAAGCTGTACTCTTATGAGTTAGGGCACAAAAATTACTCGTTTGCAAATCATTTTATTAAAACATTAAGTTTTGAATAAACCAGAGACGCTCTAGGCCTTCCAAAAGTGATGAACAGTGAAATAATCAATACTGATATAATCAACATGATCTAATAGAATTTCATTTCTTCCTTTACAGAAAGATATTTCAAAATATTATACAAGGCCAAGTATTTTGTCCTCTAGCTATAGGACTGGCAAATATTCATTCATAAATGAACTACTTTGCTCTCCACGGATACTTAAACATCAAAAATAGAGGAAAATAATAAATCCATACACCTAAGAATGTTAAGATGCCTCAACAGGCTGTCCCCACCTTTAAGGTGACAGCTCTCTTCCTACTTATACAATCCCAAATAGAAAGATGCAAATTATTCTTTCATTTAACAAAGTAGATAAAAGGTGCTTTCACTAACATGCCCTTTATACTGCCAATCTGATTTCAGAAAGTATTTCTCACCTTTTGGCATCCGGGTGAGTGGCGGATCACAACACTCCATGTGAAAACCTCGGTCACAGGAATCACAAAAGAGCATGTTATCCTAAAAAAGAGAAAGGACAGTTTTGCTTAACCTTATGAAACAAAAACAGATGAGGATCACAACTTCATAAAATCTAGGAAGCTTCAATGATCTCATAAAGGAGATGAACTACCATAATAGTAAAAGTTTCCTTAATTTGTATTAACTGAGTAAATGGACAGTCTGAGTTAGCCCAAGTTTTGCTTCAACCAACCTTTAATAAAGAACTACAGTTTCATAACTTTCAAGTTTATCCAGTAACCAGATATAAGCTAACTTTAGTTTTCTAATGGAAAAGAGAAAAGAACGATTTGTAGTTAATATACTAACTGACCATTCCTACTAAGTGAATGCCTCCATACTACTCAAACAAATTTCAGGAGTATTTCTTTAGGGGAGGCTGGGTAGCTTAGTTGTTAAGTGTCTGCCTTCAGCTCAGGTCATAATCCCAGGGTCCTGGGATCGAGCCCAACATCACACTGGGCTCCCTGCTCAGCGGGAAGCCCGCTTCTCCCTCTCCCACTTCCCCTGCTTGTGTTCCCTGTCAAGTAAGTAAATAAAATCTTAAAAAAAAAAAAAAGGTTTATTTAAAGTAGCTTAGTCTCTCTGCAAACATATAATTAAGGTGCTTTAGAAACCACCTAGAAAGAATCGAAGTCTCAAAGAGTAAGTTTTTCTAAACTAATGATGTGTAATTTAAAGGGACTCCTGTTTCAAATTCTGCTGGATCAAGTGACAAAAAACTAGCCAACAATACTTAAAGGAAATTACCAGTTGTACATTCTACTTCTAAGTGAAATATTCACATTGTAAGGCAGATACTCACTGCATTTTTGCCTTGATCTCGACAGGAGCTGCATGTTTTACACTCAATGCACTGCCACCGTAAGGCCTTCACTCTAACCGTTAGTTCAGGGGAAAACTTTAAACAGGATGGATGACCTAGTAAGAGAAGAAAATTCTCAAATGAAACAATCAAGGATCATTTTGTAACTGTATTAAAGGAATAATGTAGAAAAAGTCAATTACCTTAAATCAAAATACGTATTTAAAAAAAAGATGCTCTTGGAAGCTTGCCAGACATGTCTCATCAGGACTTGGCATTCCTATTCAGTTTTATTGATGCTAAACAGTACTTAGTACACCACCTCCCCCCACAATGTGATTATAAAAAACCTGACAAACTCCCAACTTTTATTAAGCCTGCATTAAAGCATTATGTGAGTACACATGCTTATATGTATACCAACACATAGCATGCCTAGGCCATTTCTGGAAGGATACACAGAAACTGTTTGCAACTGTAATGTCCTAGGATATGAAGCTATAACTGTTTTGAAGGAGAAGGATTTTACCTTTCACTTCACACTTCTGTGCTCTCTATTTTTAAAACAGTAACATATTACTTTTATAACCAAAAATACATTTTTATTAAATCCCATCATTTAAAGTGAGTTATTTTAGCTAAAAACTAAAATCTAAGCGATATTTCTATTGTGATCAGAATTAACAGTAACAGGAAAAAAAAGTTTCCTCTTCCAAGAGTTAGTATCCATTTGATTATCAAATTTTTAAGAAGCAAATCTGCTCTCACTCTGAAAAGATCTGTCCCTTTCTTCTATAAGTTGGTTACGTTTATTTTTCTTTGGTGAGAGAACCAGCTAGTTAAATTATTTTCTCTCCTCTCCTTTCTATTCCTAAATAAATTTCTCTTTTATGAGATGCTATGAAGTTTACTAACAAAACATCACTGACATTAAAGGAAAATGATAAAGTGTCAAAATCTCATTCATAATCTCTTCTTCCTAGATTAGCCATTCCCTGTTCTACTTTTCCTTTTTAGATTTGCTAAAAGCCCTTGCACAGTTTTAATTATAGGGTATGTACAGTTTTATTTTGCTTTTCTTCATCCTTTTAGTCAAGTAAACGTGGTATTTATATTCCTTAAACTGAATGATTCCACTGAGTTGATACCCTATAACCTACCTAGCCATTTCCCTATTGTTATTTAAACTATTACCCAAAACAGAACACTACAATGAATTATTTTATGTTTACAGATTCTTTCCTTCTTTTAGATTAATTCTTTAAAGTCCTGAAAGTGGGGTTGGTAAGTGAAATGAAAGAAACATTTCTGTAGCTTGAGAAGTAGATATGCACTGCCAAACCATGTTTCCAAATCCTCTGATATAATATCTAGTGCTACCAGCAAAGTGCAAATGTTTTACCACGATTTCATCAGCTCTAGGTTTGGGTTCTCTTACTGTTCAAATTTTATTATTATAAAAGATATAAAATGACACTTCACTGCTGCACTGGTACGCATGCTTATTATTACTTGGGTAAAATGTTTTCTTAGTATGTTCAACAATTAACCTTCTCAAACTACCTGTTCATAGGCTCTGACCTTTGGACTTCATGCTAGAAATGTAAACATGCTCTTCACACTTTATAGCTTTTGGCCCTTTACCATATTTAATGCCATTATTTTCCCCAAATAATTCTTTACAAAAATTTTTTTTTATTTTGGGTATTTTAGTTCTCAGTTTGGAAAGTATCAACTGTCATATATTTGACTATATCCATCGTTTTTTCCTTTGCTACTGTAATAGCCAGGTTCCAAGCTGCCTTCCAAACATTCTTGCCTTTTGGCAAGAATACCAACTGACACCTGTATAGTTCCCTCCCACACTAAATAGGGCTGATCTGTGTGCTGAAATGACAGGCTAAGGCTAGGTAATAAAAGATATTGCACCTTGTTCTCTCCCTCAGATACCTGGTTGGGGGAATCCAGCTCCCATGCTGTGGGCATGCGTGCAGCTCTCTGAAGAAGTCCACATGGCAAAGAACTGAGGCTCCCTGGCAAAAGGCAGCATTAACGTGCCAACCAGGTAAGTCAGCCATCACGGAACGGAAGCCTTCAGATAACTGAGTACCAGTTAAAATCTTGATTGCAACCTCATGAAAGATCCCAAGTCAAAATCACTCAGGTAAGCCACTCCCAAATTCCTGACTAACAGGAACATGAATTAAAAAATACTGCTTTTAGCTGCTACATTTTGGAGTAGTTTATTTCTATAGCAATAGATAACCAATAGTTATTTATTCTAATAGTTCTTTAAAAGTTCTCTCTATTGTTTTCAAATTGCAAGAACTCAGAGACCACCTCAAATATAATGCGTCTTACAAGGCAGGGCTATCACACAACTCCCCCCCCCCATTTTATTCCCATCTCACCTGAGCAGATCTATTTTTATCTGTTTTATAATACTTAGGGTCCCATATGATTTTTTAAGGGTTCTACTATGAAAATAGTTTGGAGATCACTGCTAGGTAGGATATGTCACTATATTTTTGTCTAATATTTTATGATTTTATGGTTTATATTTTACTATAAAATCCATCCAGACTTCATTTTGGTTTGTGATATTATGCTAGATATGATCACCTACTACTCGAGATCTCTTGCCACCACCTTCAAAAGCCTTCTGTAAGTAAAATCCAAAAAGCTAAAAGCTATACTTCCTAGACTCCTTTGCAGCTAGGCTCTAGATATGAATTAAATTCTACCAACTGGATGTGTTTGAGTGATTTTTTGAAAGGGAGAAATGAAACAAAGACCACTTTTCTGCTGGTACTGACTGTTTTCTAATGATAAAGTCATGAAAATGCCAGTACGCATCCACTCTTCACCTTCATGGCTATCCAGAGGCAATTGTGGTGATGGCCAAATTCAGTCTTTCAATAATCCAAATTCAGCTACAATCCTGCAGCAGCCTCCTGCTTCCACCTCTTCCAAATGGAGGCAGATATTAAGTGACTCCCCTGGTGGATCAGTTCTATGATATTCCAGAATCAGTCCTTAAAGCCCTGCTTAGAGCTTTCCTCTTCAGCCCTTCTAATAATTTCACAAACATCTGGTCCTGGTATTAAATTTCTTTCCTCTTGAAGTATCTAGAGTGGTTTCTGGTTTCTCAACTAAATAATGATGGTTACAGATATAAAACACTGAAAATTAAGCCAATGATCAAAGATAATATATAATGTTGGTTTACTAATATGGCCTTCCTACAAAAACTTGTAAGATCTGAAAATGTAGACCAAGAATATCTCTGGAATTGACAAACTAGGAGAGTCTTTGCAAAATCATTTTTAGAGCCCAGGATTTCACACAGCTCACTAAATTGCAGTGTCAACATTCCATTTCCCAGTGTGAATATGTAAGTTTCTATCAAGAAAAACAAATCTGTTATCATCCTGGTTCTATTCATAAAGCCTGAGGCATAAATCAAGAAAGATAAGTAGTGATTATTAAAGAAACTAGCAATAATTTCAAACTGATTGCTGTGATCTGAACAGATGTTTGATAGTCAAATATAAAGATCAACAGGAAAAAATAAGTCTATGGAAAGATTAAAAAAAAAAACCTAAGACCTGACTTAAATTAACTGAATAAAACATTTCAACTATACATTTAAATCCTTCCCTTGTCTAGAAGCTTGTCCCAGTTACCTTAAACCAGAATCAAATTAAAGTATTAGTTTTATAAGGATCAAGGATACCATCTCAGTTAAATGCACCTCCCCCTTGGCTGACAGCACATGTCTGAAGGAATCCAGGGGATTACATACCACTATTACCACAGTCGGCACAGGAGATGAGTTCCTCTGGCTTCTTTTCTCGGTTTTGTTCTTTTGTACCAAGACAGAAACTACAGATGGGGATTGGTTCAGCAACGGGCTATAAAGAAAAAAAACAATTCACTCAGGTACGAGTTTTTTTTAGTATTAATACAAAAACATTAAAATTACAGTTTTAAATTCCTGTGAAAGTTATATGTAACTTTAAGACAACTGTATCACTCTCCTAAATCTCCGACTAAGTAAGGGAATTTTTACAAAGCCTGCTTTGGCTGGACCTTTACAACCAGTCCTTGTAGTGACAACTTTGGTCCAAAAAATCATATCTCAATTGGTCACTTAAAAACTAAATGACACAGTATGGATTAAACAAAGCAAATCCTTCACTGAAGATTGAAGAGATTCAACTGAATTAAGTGTAAGAAATCACAGTCTCAGTCCTTAAAAAGTTATGTCATCTGGGAGAAGTGACAAATGTACAGAAATCAGCACCACATAAGGCGGCAGACATTAAGTGCTAGAAGAGACAAACAGTAAGTGCTCTGTACAAATGAGAAAGAAATTTCAGTTGCGGTTTAGAGGAGAAGGGTTGAAAGAAGAAGATAACATGTATTAAGTAGTAGTACTATGCAATGGGATCTTAAGAAGTTTGTACAAGGACAATAGATAATAATTGTTAAAACTGGGTTTAAACCTAGGTTTCTAGGTTCCTCTACAGCACTGCCCCTGCCCCTCTAGTCCACAGTATGGAGAGAAAGGCAGTACAAGTGGTATGAACAAGATGAACTTAGGTGTACAGTCTGCTAAAGCCAGTACTTAAAAGGATCCAGTTTCTGTGTTACATGTGGGGGTGCAGGTACATCAGTTTGTGAAGACTGTCACTGAATGTCTTATACAGAAGTTGGACTTTATCCCGCAGGAAGAGAAGAACAATAGATGGCTACTGAATCAAGAGATAATCACCTGTATTTGAGGAAAAAAAAAATCTAGTAGCAATATCAAAGACAAATGGGGGAAAAACCTAAAGATAAGTAGAACATTTAAACAATGACTACAATAGTCTGGTGAAGACAAGGTAAGAACCTGAATCAAAAAAAAAAAAAAAAAGGAACAGAAAACAATAGCTATGGACTTAGAAATCAACTAGTTATGGAAGTTAACAGAAAAGGAAACGAGTTAAGTACGACTGACTTAATGAAAAGATGGTGTGAATGGTTAGGCCATTTTCAAGAAGAAAATCAGGAGAAAAAGAGATGCTGAGTTTGACGTTAGATGTGTTTAGCTGGAGGCACTCTCAGTCAAATCTCAACCATTTATATGGGACAGAGATATAAAGCCCTCAAGATTCTTTGAGTCTACTAGAGAGAACAGATTAAATGTCTGTCAGTACTGTGACAGAAGTGTTACAATAAGAAACAATGGAGGAAGGGAATCAAGTAGGAGAAAGGGCTGTCAGAGGAAGGTTTCCCAGACTTAAGTTCTTCTGGAAGTATTTGACAGGGAGACCACCTGATGGGGGCGTTCAAACAAAAAATAAGAATCAGTTTTAGGAGGAGGGGGATGAGCTGAGTTTGGGACTTATTGAGCATAATATGCCTATGGAGCATCCATGTAGCAATGCCCATGGACTTTATGATATAGGGATGTGAAGTTCAAGAGAAAGGTTAGTCAGGAAATAAAAATCTAGAAATCACAAACCTACAAAATGGCATTAAGACCTTCAAAGTTGATGAGTTCTCCCATGGCGAACAGGGAGAAAGAAGAAACCTAAGGTCAGAATACCAATATTAAAGTGGCTGTTAGAGGAAACAGCCTGGGAAGGAAATTGGATTAGTAAGACAGTTGGATGGTACATCAGAAATGTCCAACACAAGCAAATCAATAGTATTCCTTAGCCAAGAGATTAAATGAGAGATGAACAGCTGGAAGTTGTCTTAATAATTGTGACTCTGGTAAAGATGGCCACATCCTCGCATTTTACTAACTAGAATTTAAATAAAAATTTGGGGAAAAAAAGGAATATGAAAAAGAACAGATGAGTAAAGTCAGGAAAGACTTCACTGAGGAGTAGAAACTGCAAGTAAGTAAGCTCTCAGTGAACAGGCAAGCCACTGAATGGAAGCTATTAACAGCATATCTAACTAACAAATAATGGCTTATATCCAGAATATACAAAGAACTCTCACAGTCAGTATGGAGAAGACAGACAATTCAATAGAAAGCTAGGCAAAAAACTTCAACAGGCACTTCAAAACAGCAAATATGTGAATAATATATAAATGGCCAATGAACATAAGATACTCAACCTCATTAGCCATCAAGGAAGCAGATCTCCCAAGAATGGGTAGAATTCAAAGACTGGAAATAGTAAGTGTTGATAAGAAAGTAGAACAACAGAACTCTTACACTGCTGACAAGACTATAAACTGATAAAACTACTCTGAAAACTATTTGACATTATCTACTAAATTTAAACACAGATACATCAAATGACCCAGCACTTCTACTCCTTGCTATATATCCACCAAATGAAGTACACACACACATGTACAATAAAACACACACAGACATGATCAGAACAGTAGTCATAAAATTTACTGAAACAAAAATTACCCAAATAACCAGCAATGGGTGCACAGATAAATTGTGCTATATCCATACAGTAGAGTATTAAACAGTAATGAAAATAAACAAATTACAGTCAACAACTTGTATTACTGTCACAATACTGAATGAGAGAACAGACATGGAAGAATACATACTGCATCATTTTATTTATATAAAGTTCAAAAACAGTTCTACACCGTTGTTAAGTCAAGACAGCAGTTAACCTTTAGAGAGAAAAGAAGAGGTAGTGAATTGGAAAGGGACTTCTGAGGTGCTGGTAATGTCTTTTTCTTGACCTGGATGGTGGTTTCATGGAAGTTAATATTTAAGGTACATATTTACAATCTGTGTACTTTTCCGTATGTTTCTATTAGAGAGTTATCAAACTTAAACTAATGAACATCTATAGAGTAGAACAATGTTGCCTTTGGAATATTCGGAAAGAAATACCAATGGTGATTTGGACACTGGAGTTTGGAACTTAGAAGAATAGGCTAGAGAGATTTAAAAGACAGCAATATGCTAACTGACAGCACCCAGTGAGAAGGAGGAGTGAAGTTGTAGTAAAGGACAGAGACCAAGGGGAAGAGAGTGGAGAAGTGAGATAAAGTCTAAGACAGAAGAATATCGACATTTAGAAGCATGAGTGGGTGGATGGGGAGAGACAAGAAAGGACCAGTCTGAGGGAAAACAGAACCAAGAGGAAGTGATGGCACAAGAATTACAAGAAGTAGAGAGCAACCAACAATCAATGTTGTATATCTACTGGATTGTACAACCAATAAATAGTTGGAAATGTCACTAACAGTGAGTCTTTTTCAGTGACAGGATAAGAACTAAACTCACAGGAACCAACAAACTGCCATAAAGGGACAGAGAGCAGACAGGAGATAGCTTTAAAAAAATGGCAACGGGTTTTGATGTGTTCTAGGTATTTAAGATGAGAAAGACTAAACCTATTTAAATGTGGAAGAGAAGACATACATGGTCAAAGAGATTCAAGAAACAAGAAATAACAGGAACATATTATATAATGAGGCTTAAAGCTGCACTATTCAATATGGTGAACACTAAAACATGTGGCTATTTAAGTCTGAAATAAAACAAATGTAATTCCTCAGTCGTGCTAGCTACATTTCAAGTACTCAACATTCACATGTGGCCGGTGATTATGATATTGGACAGCACAAATACAGAACAATTCCATCATTACAGAAAGTTCTACTGGATAACACTGATTTTGGAAAAAAGGATGAATTTTAAAGCAAGGATAAAGGGACTTTATAGTAAAGGATGGTGTAGATGCATATTGTTTGTAGGTGAGATGGTGGGAAAAGGGAAATGTTGAGGGTGCTCATTTCGGACAGCCTCATTATTTCTGGAAAATAGGAAATTAAAAATCGCCTGCCAGAAGTGGGGCAGGAATTGGACAGATATAGCATGAGACAGTGAAAGCTGACTGAGAAAACTGAGAGGTGAGATTGGCTGGGTCCAAGAACAAAGATAATGAAAACACCCTCCTATCAAAATGGAAGGTGGACACACATTTTTCAGGCAAGGAAGAATCAGAAAAATATGTATTAACAGAGAATAAATTCAAAAAGAAGAGAGAAAAGGCGATGGAGTCCCTGCAAAAAGGCCTCCATCTCTTCACTAAAATAGAAGACAATCTCACTTGCTTAAACAGAATTAGACAGGTATGGGTTTGGGCATTTACAGAGAGCAAAAAAAGTCTGGAAGTCTCTGTGTGGAAGATGAAAGAGAATCAATTAGTGATGAAAAATAAAACTGTCAATCAGCCCTAACCACACAGCTAAGATCAGAAAGTTCAACTTGTAGTATTTCCAACCAAAATGATTACACAACTTTCCTTAACACCTCGAAGCCTTGGACTGACAAAATCAGAGAGCTGTAGATTCAGGAGAAAAGCCAAAGGGTAAAGTCTACTAGAATGCAAATACAAACATGGCTGACCTCTGAACAACACAGGTTTGAACTACCCAGGTCCATTTATAAGCAGATTTTTTTTTACAGTATACTACTGCAAGTGTATTTTATCTTCCCTATGATTTTCATAATAAGATTTGTTTCTCTAGCTTATTTTAAGAATACAGTATATAATACATATAACATACAAAATATGTATTAATTGACTGTTTATGTTATTGGTAAGGTTTCAGGTCAACAACAGTAAGCTATTTAGTTAAGTTCTGTGGAGCCTACTACACAGAGGTCAGAGTGCTGCGTTGTTCAAGAAGGGTCAACTAAAATGGTAGGCCACAAAGTTGAGGCTGGACGTCATAAGCAGAAGGGGGCTTACAAAAAGCATTTGAAGTTATGGTACCAAGGGAATCCTGATGAACTGAAAATAAAGGTCCAGCAGGAAGTAAAAGGATTGAAGACTGGGGTCTACAGGGAAACTTTAGAATTTGTGATTTCCTAAGTAAAAAGTCCTAGCTAATAAAGGAAACTTCAAATCGCAAATGTGCATGA